TTTAATCCTTTCTTCTCACTTATAAAGTCAGAAAAAATAGTTTAGTGTATTTGCTTAAAATTCATATGAAAATTATTAATCTGAAACATTCATTTTGACAAATATTTTAAAAAAAACTTGTACTAAATTTTTCAGAGTTTTATGGCACAATAAAATATGAGCAAAGAAATTGAACATTCATCTTTGTTTTTTTTCAACAACCAAACTCCACATTTTAGGCTCAAAGACAGCTAAATATGAAAAGAAATTCCCACAACTTAATTGGTGAGATATATATATATATATGGAAAGAACGGAAAGATTAAGAATCTACCATTCTTAGCATTTACTTTACTTAAAAAAGTGCTCACCATGATGTAAAGCAAAATATTAAAATGATATTTTTATTATAAAATATTTTACATCACTACACAAAATTTTCTGTTTCAAAACTAAAAATTGTTTCTCATCAGACATCCAACATCACCTGATGAGGAACAATTTTTAGTTCTGAAACATAGAAATGTTTTGAAGCAATGTAAAATATTTTATAATAAAAATATTATTATAATATATAGGGTGTAGCAAAAATATTTTTACAAACTTTGGGAGGAGTTTCCTCACACCAAAGCAAGGACAACAGTCCATATAAACAAATGTATGCAAATCCTTCATTTTTGTGGAATTGAGTTTATGGTAGATCCTGTTAAATATACAATACAAGATACATTCCAAAAATACTAATTACCATAGTTTGTGGTGCCACAGATCCTGTCTCAGCAACCCAAAGATAAACAGCAGTAAAGGTTGAATGTCTTGGCTGTCTTTGGTCCGGAAATGCAATCTAATACAGCAGTGTAGCCTCACATCCATTACCATTTGTGTGGACATATGTAAAAATCATATCTGCCTGCTCATGATATATCCTGCCATTGTTAAATAGAACACTTCTCAGATAACACTATTACACATGTTAACCTTTGAAGACAGACTAGCCCCAAATGTACACGAATGACAAATGTAACCTAGTCTAATGGCAATATGGTACTATCTACTGTAAACTTTCTTTAAACTTAACTAAAAAATAAAGGATCTGTGGACATACATTTATATGAAACTTTTGTCCTTGTTTTGTGGGAGGAAGCCATCCCCAAAATTTGTAAAAGCATTTCTGATACACCCTGTGTGTGTGTGTGTGTGTGTATATATATATATATATATATAATATAGTTTTAAAATGTGCTATATTTATGGGATAAAGTACTCAATATCAGAGATAGAGCGTATATAAATATAAAAGTGAACATTAAGTCAACACTCAGAGGCGACGGGCTGTTTCATGCTGGACGCAATCATCAGGTGGCCTGACGATTGCATATATATATATATTTCTCAAAATTAATCTGCAGAAAAAGACAATATGCATAAAACTATTTATTTATATATTTGTATACACACACACACATATATATATATATATATATATATATATATATAATAAAAACAGACCACTTCAAGATTCCATGTAATAAATTATTTCACCACAGCCCTTTTAAAGGACTGCGAATCATCAGACTTTACAAAAAGATTTTTTGTTTGGAAATAAAGTCTGATGATCCGCAGTCCTTTTAAAAGGGCTGTCATGAAATAATTATATGGAACCTTGAAGTGGTCTGTTTTATTTAAATTTTTTGCTCTGAATTTACATTGAGCTCTCTGGATTTTATCCTCCTTAGGTTTACAAATACGGATTACTTAGTTTTTCATAAACTATATATATATATATATATATATAATAGAGAGATAGAGAATTTTATCAATGAATAAATCACAAAGAAAGTAATATATAATTTTACATTTCTTTTGGGAAATTAAGTAGAAAAAAGAAGTGTAATTTAATGTAAACAACTCTATCAATATATATTTTTTAATTTAAATCAACAAGAAAATCCCTTTAATTACTCTTAAAGCCTGTATTTTGTAATTTCTATTTTTTTTTTTTTTATGATGAGAATAACTTTCCCAAAGATTCTCAAATGATCTGCCGAGAAAGAATGAAAACAAAAACCAAATTTGAATCCAATTTCGAACAATTATACTTTTGTTCATTCATTAGGTTTCCAAAAATTAGATTTTAGAAATTAAACCATACAATTTGATTATAATGGGTTCAGTGAAGAAGACCCTAAAAGCTATTATTTAATTTATTTCTTTGCAAGAATACTTGAGATGAAACGGTTTATACCATAATAAGAGGACCTTAACCAATATGGTGTGTGTGTGTCTATATGAAGGTGTATATATGTATGTTTACATTTATATATCAGTTTTAATCTTTAATGAATGAATTCTTGTAGATTTGCCAATATTTGATGAATAAAAATAACAGGCAAAAATGACAATGGTGATAACAGCTTGTATTAATCTATAGAAAATTCCTTTTTTTTTTTTTAATCATTTTATCCCAACCATGGCAATAAAGCCACTAAGATGCAAGTGGCTCCTGAATATGAGAAAAAAATCCTCATTAAAGAGAAAGAGCAATAAAAGAACAGAATTTAAGACAGAAGATAATGATAGACATTTTATTTAAATTACTGAAGATCAAACTTGACTGAAAAGTAAAAAGCCAAGAAAAAGCTCCCCAGGTGAGAAGAGTGAGAGAAGAAACTATTAGCATAGAAGTTATGGTTACGTTTAGTCATTTCAACAGTAAAATGACGAAACCTAGATGCCAATCTAGTACTCTGCTTAAATTTTTAAAGTTGAGCTACCAAAGAGGAAAGCTCATCAGAACAATTAGCATGAAAATTGTTATAGAAATGGTATAGGGAAGCAATGTTACAAGTGACTGAAACCAAGATGCCAGGTCAGGATCAATAATATTGCAGATTCTTTGGACTTTATCCATAATCTCTAAATACTTAGCAAAACACCAAACCAGATGTGACAGTAATATTCAATCTATAGATGAATGGTAAACTTATAAACGTAAGATAGATTCTGACAAGAAAAATTGTCTAGCACAACATGGTGAACCAACTTTCTTAGCAGTAGACTTAGAAATTACTTCAACAGGAGTAGAAGTTTATACTAGTCTCTACTATTGAAGAGAGAAAACAATAAAAAAACAAGAATTAAAAAGAATGAAGATAATGATTGACATCACATTTAAATTTTTGAAGATCAAACTTTGCTAGAAAGCAGCTCACACCTAGAAACCATCTAAGGTCCTCTCAGTTGCAATATAAACTGCAGATAGATTCTGTGGGTTGAACAGGTGTCTATAATAGGAATTCACTAGCCACCCAGGCAGATGGATGTGGGAAACAAGTAGTAGCTGTCTATAGAGATATGCCATGGACATTCAGGAAGTGGGCTATAATGCATCTTCACAACTTCCTATATTTTATTACATTAAGGAACTCTTGACTTTTTACTATCCTTTTGTCCACATCCTCCCAAATTCATTAAGTTGGTTACTTGCTGTTTCCACACATCAATCTTGCTTGTGAGTGTTATATTTTCCAGGCCTTCTTTCCATATTATGTGTCTCTTACAAATTCTAAGCATCTTTTTACTTGTTGATTCTATTTTCCTTAAAACTTGCTCATTGCTCAGTCCATGGTATTCTCAGTATCCGTCTGTCAAACTACATTTCTATTGCCCCTAAGCCACCTCTTTATTCTCAGCATTCATTAGTAAAAACACACCTGTATCACTTCAAGTTTCTTTGCCTGAAAAGACATTGTCTACCATATAAAGAGAGTAGATATTACGTAACAATATTTCCCTATCTCTTAATACTTTGCTTACTTTCTGGAAGACACTTTCCCTATTCCCATATGCCTGTACAGTTCAGACATCTCTTTCTGATTGTAAGTATAAGTTTACTTGTGGTTTGTATCATCCTTAAGACTTCCTCATTGCTCTCATGTTCTGTTCATAGTATTCATAGCATTTGTCAGTTGAATTACATCTGGGGCTTCAAGTCTCTTCTTCATCTGTGAGGAAACTGTCCAGCATTCACTGCTATATAGGAGATTAGATATTATCTAGCAGTTCAGTATTTTCCAACAATATTTCACTTTCTCTTAATACTTTGCTTAGTTTCTGGAAGGCATTTTTCCCTATTCTTATGTGCCTTTTGATTTTTGTCCCACATTTTCTGCTCTCTGTTATTACCCTGTTAATACAATTCCTAGATATTTAAATTTTCATACTAAATAAATTTTATTATCTCCAAATTCTAGTTCTCATCTTGGGCTGTTCCTCTTATTGACAGCCATAGTTTCCATCTTCTGACAACTGATAGTCCTTTCTTCTCACTTTCTTTTACTACATTCAATTCCTTGTTGTCATCTTGGGCTTTTCCTCTTATTGACAACCATACATTCTGTCTTCTTAGAATTAATGGTTAGTCCTTTCTCCTCACTTTCTTTTACTACCTCCAATTTGTAGTTTTCACCTGGGGCTGTTCTTATGTTAAGAGTGTGTCCACCAATAATAAGTCCTGGCAGGACATCTAATTCTCTCAAGATTACTTTATTGTAAAAGTTGAATAAGTCTAGTGAGAAGACATATCCTTGTTTTATACCCCATTTATTTTTGTGTTTTTACTGAATTCATCCGGCATAAGTTCTAGGTTTTCGAAAAAAAAAAAAAAAAAAAAAAGAAAAATAATATGAGATATTTGCTGTTTGCCATAAACAAATTATTCCTTAAATGTTGCTTCTGACTCCACAAATGGGCACAATTAATTGAGTTTCATTTCATATCAAATTAATGTACTCAAAAATATTTTGGAAAATAATCTGTAATTAATACAAAATCCATTTAGTTATTTCACTAATGGCTTCTGATGGCAATTTCCAGAATCTCTTGGGAGACAAGAATAAGGTTATCTTTATTTGTATAATATTCAGACTTGATTTGGGGGTTTAAATGTAAACCAGGATATCTTCAGTTCAACCCTTCATGTCAAATAAGTGAAGTAGATTACTCATGATTTGGTTTAAATGTCAAGAATCTTTGGCAGTGGTATTGATGGTGGCAGTCAGGGTGTTGGTATGCGAGTGGTGGTATTTGTAATAATTATGCTAATAGAGGTAGTTTTAGTAGTTATAATGGTAGTTGTGATATTTTTAGTTGCTGTGATGATTATGGTGGCCATAATGGTTTTTATAATGGTAGTGGGAATCTTTGTGCTGTTTGCAGTTTGTTTTTTGTCCTGGCAATGGTTTGGTGGTAGCGATGTTTGTAATAATGTTAAGGTATTGGGTTTGTGGTGGTGGTCATGTTTTTGTGATACTAGCAGTGGGGTTTATGGTGGTAGTGGTGGTTTTAGTGGTGCATGGAGTTGAAGATGGCCATGGTTGATGTGGCAGTGGTGGTGGTATTAGTAGCAGCTATAATATTAGCATTAGCAGTATAGTTTGTAGTGATAGTATTGCCATTGGTTGGAAATATGCCTTCTTGTATGTACCATCACCCTCCAGGATATGCTCAATCATGGTCCTCCACATCTTCCTATCCTTTGTCCCTCTGTTATACCGGAACATTACCCATTCTATTATTAATAGACTCTCCCACACATAATAAGTAGTAGTAGCGGTTGCCAGTTGAGCTCAGTGGAGTTGAGTGAGTGAGTCGATGTCGGACATTGAAGTATCAACCACCAAAACTAGATTGCTGCGTCATTAACTATTATTTCAAGTTCCTAACGTTTTGTACGTCGGACCTAATTTAGGACCGACTTAGTGAAATACAAGCCTCCACTGTGAAAACTACTCTACAACACCCTTTCACCTTCAACATATCCTGTGAATATCAAACTTACTTTCTTCATTCTGTTTCTCAAAAATTTCAACTCTCTCTTTCTGATTGTAAGTAGACATTCTTTTGACTTCAACTTTTCTTAAAAATTCCTTATTACTCACGTGTTCCATCCATGGTATTCTCAGCATCCTTATGAAGAACCACATTTCTGTTACCTCATGTCTTTTCTTTATTTGTGAGAAAATTTTTCAGCCTCCACTGCCATTGGTGGAGGATTTATGTGACATAGCAGTAAATATACATTATTTACATTATTTGGACTATTGTACTCATCTTTGTTGCCATATTTATTACAACGTTTCGGCTGTTGTATTCTCTGGCCTTCTGGTGGTTGGAATGTTGAAGGACACATGGCGCAGTGGATAAAGGCATTGGTTAGATCCAGTGACAGAACCCAAAGAGTGTGAGTTCAATACCCAACTAAGGCAATGGAGAACATTAACAGGGAAAATTAACAGGAGATAACTGATAACTGACTAAAACTCTATTAAACATGGCACATGGAACTAGAACAGTCTACCCCAGTGAGTGAAATAAAGGGTTCAGTTCGACATTCCAACCACCTGAAGAAGGTTGGAGCATACAGCAGCCGAAATGTTGTAATAAATATGGCGACAAAGATGAGGACAATAGTCCAAATAATGTAAATAATGTACATAATACCTCATCTCAGAAATATAGACAGCAGCAAATATGTACTTAACATTACAAGACTTGCAGGGAGAATGGTGAATTATAAAAGGTAAGGTTAGTGTTTGACAACAAAATTCACAAGAAAAGAAGACTTGGCTCCATGAAAACCATACCCAGCTCAATCTTAGGGACAAAGAGAATATTTGTATCAAATGGGAATTATTTGCCATCAGCATAATAATGAACAACAAAAATGAATGATCAACTTAGCTAGAAAAAAAAATTAAATTTATACTAAGTTTTTATTAAAAATGCAATTATATATATTTATACTGTGTAGCAGAAATACCTTCCACATTATGATAGGATATTAGTGGCAGTGGTGTCTTCAGTGGGAGGTGTTTAGTCATTTTTTTTTATTATGATACTATACTTACTATTATGTGAGGAAGTATTTCTGCTACACCATGTATATAAGTGGCAAAGCACAATTCTGATTATATTGTATTTCTTTACTGGGGAATTAATTCAATCTTGTTGGCTCCAAAAGACACTACAGATATTTCACGCAAAGTAATTATACCAATTATACATATAATATACCTAATGTTTCAATAATGTTTTATTAATTTCTGATAATTAATATTCCGTTTGGTTTTACATATCTACAATAAAATAATTTGCAATGAATTTCTATACAAAAAGTGATTACATCAAATTTCTACAGTAAAAAAGTTTGTAATGCACTTCTGTAGTAAAATAATTTGCAGTATATTTCAATAGTAAAGCAGTGTGTACTATAAAACTCACTATACCTACATACACTGTAGTAGACCACTCTCCACACCCTTCATGTTCTATTTTTAATCACATTTCAGCCACCAGACATTCTAGCTGGTTTCTTTCTTTTAACATATTTCAGCCACTGAATCCTTCAGCCCTTTTCTTCATCTTGTCACATTTCATCCATGGCTTATGGCCACATCACATTTAAACAGCAGTTCTATGATCAAAGTTAAGCAACCTGGATGGGTGTTCACTTGGGAATACCAGGTGCTGGAATATTGGATGTGTGAGTGGCATAATCAGAGAGCTGAGTTTCAATTCCAGATTGGTTTGTTGTATTCACTTATGCATCACTTGGGAAAGGTATGAATCCACCTATTCTCCTCTTCACCTATGGGTTAATTAGTAAGACTTGTATCATTAAAACCATTATCATCTCAAATGAAGACATTGCATACAAAATATTTATATATTAATATATTATATTATTTATATTTGAGCATTAAAAGGACCCATAGATGTGTCAATATGCCACTAAGCAAAAGCAACCCACCAACATTTCAGCCACTTTATATTCCAGGTGATTTTCTTTCTTTTATGACAAAAATTCAGCCACTGTATATGCCAGCTATTTTCTTTTAGTTACTTCTTTGTGTGGCCTTTATCAAAATGTTTCATGTAGCAGTGAAAACATTTTGATAAAGACTTCAATGGCACTAATGTCATAAAAGTGTGCATCTTATATATTTAAGTTTTACTAAAGCTAATCACAGTACTGAGTGTTCTTTACAAGTAAAAAAAGTGATGAACACTACACTATTTGTCTTGAAATAAACAACACCCTGATGATGGCATTATGCTTATGTCAAAGGTACTCAGAATAAAATAATATGTATCAACACAGTAATTTTCTCTCTTCCTTGAATAATGACACCAAAAAGCTTGTCCGTGAATATGAAAGGATTCAATTGAAAATAAGTAAGCAAAAGTTGTCTAAATTATTCAGTGAAACATGTCTCTTTCTCTCTCTTTCTATGTATATGTATATATATATATATATATATATATATATATATAATCAATTACAAAGTGTAAAAAGTTTTTGTCTAACATGTTTTGTCATTTAGAACTTTAACAAACTACACATGAAGGAGTGAGGATGATGAAAATTTTAAATTTAAATTTCAAAAAATTCTTTTTTATTTTAAATAGGTGTTTCGTTATATGATATATTAAGCAGAGAAGGTGTGTATTCAACATTTGATAATTTTACAGCAATACATACTTAAAGGTTTTAGGCAGTTTTGACCAACATTTCTTTTCATGGTTAGCCATAAGGAATTGCAAATGTAGGACTACCTTGCACTTAACCAAAATAATAAGAATAATAATATTATTAACAATATCAAGTTTTACAGAAACATTATTGACAATTATGTATTTAGTTAAATAACAAATAAAAATAATATGAATTTTGATGTTATATTCCATTTGTTGTTTGGTATTTTTCATTTTCTTCTTTGCTATTGGCGGCATTTTAGAATACTTTTGCTGCAATGCTGTGTTTCCTAAGTTGAACAAACTGGAGCTATTTCGTTTATGCTTTTTTACCTATGTATGACCAAAAATAAAATGCTTTTGACAAAAACCCTTAATGATTTCACTATAATTACATAACAATAATGTAATGATATTCCACAGACAGTATATTTCAATAGTAAAGCAGTGTGTACTAAAAAACTAGCTATACCTACATACACTGTAGTAAACCACTCTCAACACCCTTCATTTGAGCGACAAAATTACAATAGACTAACCTCTTTCAATTGATATCTTTATTCCATCTAGTTAAATAAATTAAAGTGAATGATAAAAGTATTGTTAGTATTGCTATACTTGTCTTGTAAATGTGTACAGCCATAAACAACTGAACAAGAAACAACTAAACACCTTATAAACATAAACAATAGAAAAGATACATATTCACTATGTTTTTATTTTATAGTACAATACTAATATGTGAATATTAGATGCATTATTATTGGATGCAGTTAAGTAAAACGTCAGTTTTATCAAAATCATGTTTATTTTAAATACTTTTTTGATTACAGTAAATGGATATATAGTTTGGTCAACAAGTTAGCCAGGGCCAGCAGTACATACACTAATTTTATATCTAGTGTTTGACATGACTCTTTAACCCTAGAACACTAACCATCAATTAAAGTTACACCACTACTAACCATGGGTATATCATAGCCGATTTTGAAAATATCATAAAAAATATTAAATATAAATCTTTATTTGAAATATTTTACATGCAGCCACTTCAAACTTTGTACTTTGAGTTAACATTACTAGGAACTGAAAAACATATTATTTAGGTAAGAAAATCAGGTACTGAAAATTGTAATTAAAAATAGGAAAATTTGCGCTGGGTACTATATACCCATGGTTAGTGTTCTAAGGTTAAAATTAGCTTCAAAATTAAGTCTAGAGAACTTGCATGATATACAAGTATATATGATAAATAGATCTTTATTGCAGTAAATTGGGCATTTGCAAGGATTTGATAGTTAATGCAAACTTACAGCACCTTGTATTCCAAAACAGTCACCCATCTAGGTATTGACCAGGCCCAACATTGCTTAACTTGATTGTATGAGAATCAGTGTTTTTTTATGGAGGTGCTGACAACATCTCAGATTAACCAAAGAGCTCTTATTAAAAAAGATCTGTTGTTTATTCATACAGTGAGATTTCTGGGAGTAGGTCAGAGTGATAACTTTTCATCACCCGCTTCTATATATGTTTAGTTTCCTTCTTTTATGGTTGTGGAATTCTTCTTGATACAAAAACATCTCACATTGTAACAATCAGGAAAACTTTCATTTGAACCAATGTTTAAAAATACAATATAAACTTTCGACCTCCATGAAGGATTGATTCTTTTTAGACCATAAAAATGTAAGAATGGGAAACATTCTCCATGGATCGTGATTGAGCCAAGAGGCACTAAAGGTATTAATAATGATGTATTATATGGTTAATTAAGGAATAATTTCTTTTATTACCTATCTCAATTTTTTCCTATCTGTCTTAATCTATCATTGAAATTATATGTGAATGCATAAAATCTTATGTTATACATACATACATACATAAGCAGGTTTGGCTAAATGATTTAGACATATTATGTCTATTTTAGTTTTAATCCTCAAGTCTACGTAATATATATATATATAACACTGAATATGGCAGGCAAGGAAAATTTAATTAATTTTTTATTTAGTTCTTTATTTTTTGTTTAGTTATTTTCCTTGTCTGCTATATTTAACAAAATATGCTTAAAAGAAAGGCTTCTATGCAAATGTACATATATATATATATATATATATATATATATATATATATATATATATATGGTTACAGCCATATTGAAACATCAGCTCTCATATGGTCACTGAAATTAAGCAACGTTGTCCTGTAAGCTTGGGTGTGCAGGTGGTGTAATAGATAACAGCTATATATATATTATATATTATATATATATTATATATATATATTATATATATTATATATTATATATATATATTATATATTATATATATATTATATGTCTTCAATGAAACAACGTATTGCATCTGACAAATGTGGTTATAACCATTATTGGCAGCTCCGCAAGAGTGTACTGAACAACATCAAATCCACAATACCTCCTCTATTCAACCAATTTGAGGTTCTTACTTCCTGACTGAATGCTTTGCTTGACAATTCTTAATCAATTCAATGCTTAACTCATCCAGATTTTTCCCCCTAGAACTGAGTCCCTATTGAGTGAGATAAGCATAACCTCATCGATGGTACTGGACATCATCTCTAAATTAGACTCTCAAAAAGCTAGTGGCAGGGATGGGATACCAACAGTTGTCCTGAAGAAATGTGCTCCTGAACTGGCCCGAGTCCTCTCCAAACGATATAACTATTGCCTCAGTAACTCTTGCTTTCCAACCTGTAGGAAGTTGTCATCTGTTGTCATTGTTTTTGAGAACTTTGGAGAGAGACGCTTCTGTCCCCTCTAACCACTGTCCCATCAGTCTTCTACTACTCTTTCGCAAAGTCCTCAAGGTTTTAATCAACACTAAAATGGTTAAGCAGCTTACATCCCATGATCTGCTCTCTGACAAGCAATATGGTGATCATGATCATTACTGAATTTGTATCTCAAGCACTTGACAATAACAAAGAATCTCGAGCTGTGGCTCTTGATATCTCTAAAGCATTCAATAGGGTTTGGCATGCCGGTCTTCTTTGTAAGCTCCAGGGATACAGAATTATAGGATGATTATTTAACTTAATACAATCATTCCTGTCAAATTGTGAACTGAAGGTCATCCTAAATGGGTTCTCCTTCAGTTCCTTTCATACAAACACTGGTGTTCCCAAGGCTCTATCCTGAGTCCTACACTGTTTCTGATCTTCATAAATAATCTTCCTGATGTCATCAGTTCCCAAGCAGGCATCTACATAGACAACACTACTGTTTACTCCTGCCTCAATAGTAAATCCAACATTGTTGTCAAAACCCTGTCATCTACCGCAAGGAAAGTTGGTTCTGTGTCACGCTAGGTTTTTCTCACCTGAGTCCATCCTACAAATCAACCATTAGTCCTTGCATCGAATACTGCTGCCATATATGGTCTGGTCCCTATGTTGCTTATCTCGAGGTCCTTAACAAAATCCAGAGAAACATATGCAATGTGATATGTCCTAATCTGGCATCTTGTCTATGGTCTATCTCTCTCACAGACATGCTGTGGCTACTGTCTGTCTTTTCTAGAAGTATTTTCATTGCAACTGTTTTCACAAAATAACTTCATTGGTTCCCAAACTGCATGAATTTAAGCATGCTACGAGGTTGTCATTTCTATCCAACCCTTAAACTGTCAAAACAGTTAAATGTAGCCATCTCTTCTACTCCAACAGCTTAATATTTTGCACTTCCCATTAGTGGAACTCCCTTCTTCCTAATTGCTTCCCTGATAGCTATACTATTCAAATATTCAAATGTAATATCAATTGACATCTTCTGATTCCTTGATCCTGATCCCTGTCTGTATCTATATCCTTTCCTCAAAGACCCCCCCCATCTTTACTCCTGCTCTCACTTTCTCCCTTGTGTGCTGGTGATACTCACACTTTGCTTGGGGTGAAATGCTTAAATTTTACACACACACACACACATATATACATATACACACACACACATATACACATATATATATATATATATATATATATATATATATATATATATATATATATATATGTGTGTGTGTGTGTGTGAAATTGATATTTGAGCATGCATTGATGTCTGTAAAAATAAGGAAAACAGAAACAAAATATGACTGAAAGAGGAGATTTAGAAACACTAAGTACAGAGAGCAAAGGATTAAGGAGAGAGAGAAAGAAAGAAAGACAGAAAGAAAGGAGGGAAATGTTACCAGTAAGAGAGAGAGAGAGTGAGGGAATAGCCATCAATGAGAAATGAGAGAATGAAACGTAACAAAGAGTGATAAAGAAAGCAAGAAAAAGATTGTGGAGAAAAATCAGGGAGATAGAGAAGATACCAAAGAGAGAGTGAAAAAGAGAGATAGATAGATAAAAATAGATAAAACTAAATAGATAAAGATAGATAAAAGAAGATAGATAGATAAATATAGGTAAAACTAGATAGATAAAGATAGATAAAGATAGATAGATAAAGATAGATAAAAGGAGATAGATAGATAAAAGTAGATAGAAGTTGATAGATAAAGATAGATAAAACTAGATAGATAAAAGTAGATAAAGATAGATAAAACTAGATAAAAGTAGACAGATAACGATAAAATTGATAGATAAAAGTAGATAGGTAGCAGAAAGAAGATGCCATAGACAAAGTGAGAGATACAGAAGAGAGAGAGAGAGAGAAAAAACCCAAAAAACACTGAGTGAGAGAAATAGCAAACAGAAAATATAATGAATATTTTTATTTAATTTCATTAGATATTAGTTTTATACCTTGTACATCATAATTAGTGATTTTTATGTTTATTATATTTTTGGATATTTTTAAAAAATATCTGTTTGATGAATATGCCATTTATTTTTTTTTTTTTGTATTTTTTAAAATTTTTTTTACCAGCTCCACCATCAAATATCAATCCTCCTCCTAAGATGGTTATTTCAGCAACACTTATAATCAGTAATTAAGACTAACAAATGAACTAAGAAACTTAATGACTATGGTGCCATTTGATAACAGACGTACTGCATTTTTGTCCTAACAAAGACTGACGCAACGAAGGACAGTCAGGATTATGACTTTTATCATTGATTTTGTCTTTTCAAAGAGAAATATTTGTTCACAAAATAATGAGTCACTTTATCTAATTGTTTATTAAATTTACAAAAAATAAAGAATTGAGACAAGACTCTTTGAAAAGCTGAATACAGATTGTACAACTGCAAATGTGAAATTTAAAACATGCAATTACACACCTTTTTAAAAAATCAATGTATAAAAAAAACAAAACATAAAAGGTATATAAAGTTAATTCTTTTATCTGTTTTTAAAAATTGTTCTTAGTGTTTTCATATATACTTTAATTTATTCTTTATTCACACTCATTCCATATTTTTATTATATATTTTCTATCTTTATACCACCTTTCCTTTTTCTTTTTACTTTCTTTCTTAAGTTCTTCCCTTTTTATCTTAACATCCCACCTTTTTGGCTCTTTATTTCCTTCTTTGGTTCCTTCTTTCTTTCCTTCCTTCTTTCTTTCCTTCTTTCTTTCTTTCCTTCTTTCCTTCTTTCTTTCTTTCCTTCCTTCTTTCTTTCCTTCCTTCTTTCTTTCCTTCCTTCTTTCTTTCCTTCCTTCTTTCTTTCTTTCCTTCTTTCTTTCTTTCTTTCCTTCTTTCTTTCCTTCCTTCTTTCTTTCTTTCTTTCTTTCTTTCTTTCTTTCTTTCTTTCTTTCTTTCTTTCTTTCTTTCTTTCCTTCCTTCCTTCCTTCCTTCTTTCCTTCTTTCTTCTTTCTTTTTCTTTCCTTCCTTCTTTCTTTCCTTCCTTCTTTCTTTCCTTCCTTCTATCCTTTCTTCCTTCTATCTTTTTTCTCCTTCTTTCTTTCTAAATTCTATTTGTTTTTCAATTGACCTCCTCCTCCTTTTTGTTTCCTTCTACCCTCCTCTTTTTCTCTTTTTCCTTTCAATTCTTTTACCTTTTTACCTTTGTATTTTGCCATTTATAAGAAACCTGGATTTTCTCACCAATCTAATTATAACTTCGCCTTTAGCAAGTCTCTCTGAAAGTGGCTGCGGAATTTTCAAAAAAGATGATACAAAGAGAAAATTATAAAAGAAGACAAGAGTTTGGAAAATGTGGCAGAGATCTTGAGAAATGTTGAGAGTGAGAAAGAAAGAATTATTAAAGAAAAAATAAAAGAAAGGGAATAAGTATGAGGAAAAGAAAGAAAGAGTAACAAAGAAAGAGAAATATGTATAGTAAAAAGAAAAAAAGAGTAACAAAGAAAGGGAATGTGTATGAGGAAAAGAAAGAAATAAAGGCTAACAAAGAAAGTATGAGAAAAAGAGAGAAACAAAGTAACAAGGAGTGTGAGGAAAAGAAAGAAAGAAAAAAAAAGGATAACAAAGGATAACAAGGAAGGATAACAAAAGTGTGAGAAAAGAAAGAAATGGAAAAAAAAAGGATAACAAAAGGAGAAAGAAAGAAAAAAAGAAAAAAAGAAAATAACAAAGTGTGAGGAAAAAAGAAAAGTGAAAAGAAAACAAAAGGAAACAAAGAAAGGAAAAGAAAGAAAAAGAAAAAAGAAAAGAAAGGATAACAAAGAGTGTGAGGAAAAAAGAAAAGAAAAAGAAAGAAAAAAGAAAGGATAACAAAAAAGAAAGAAAAAGAAAAAAGAAAAAAAGGATAACAAAGAGTGGAGGAAAAGAAAGAAAAAAGAAAAGAAAAAAAGGAAACAAAAAGAAAGAAAAAGAAAAAAAAAGAAAAAAAAAGAAACAAAAGGATAACAAAGTGTGAGGGAAAACAAAAATTAGAAAGAAAAAAAAGAAAAAAGGATAACAAAAAGAGTGGAAAGAAAGAAAAAGAAAGAAAAGTGAGAAAAAAAAAAAAGGATAACAAAGTGTGGAAAAAAGAAAAAGAAAAAGAAACAAAGAAAGGAAAACAAAAAAAAAAAAGTGACAAAGGAAAAGAAAAAGAAAGAAAAGAAAAAAAAGAAAGGATAACAAAGAGTGTGAGGAAAAAAGAAAAAAGAAAAAAGAAAAGAAAGAAAGAAAAAAAGAAAAAAGGAAAAAAAGGATAACAAAGTGTGTGTGAGGAAAAAAGAAAAAAAAAAGAAACAAAAGAAAAGAAAGGAAAACAAAAAAGAAAGAAAGGATAACAAAAGTGGAGGAAAAGAAAAAAAAAGAAAAAGAAAAAAGGAAACAAAGAAAAAAAGAAAGGAAAAAAAAGAAGGATAACAAAGAGTGTGAGGAAAAAAAAAAAAGAAAAAGAGTGTGAGGAAAAGAAAGAAAAAAGAAAAAAAAAAAATAACAAAGGATAAAAGAAAAGAAAAAAAAAAGAAAGGATAACAAAAGAGGATAACAAAGAAAGAAAAGAAAAGAAAGAAAAGGATAACAAAGAAAGAAAAAAGAAAAGAAAAAAAAAGAAAAGAAAAGGAAAAAGAAAGAAAGGATAACAAAGAGTGTGAGGAAAAGAAAAAAGAAAAAGAAAGAAAGGATAACAAAGAGTGTGAGGAAAAGAAAGAAAGAAAGAAAGAAAGGATAACAAAGAGTGTGAGGAAAAGAAAGAAAGAAAGAAAGAAAAAAACAAAGGATAACAAAAGAAAGTGAAAAAAGAAAGGGATAACAAAGAAAAAAAAAAAGAAAAAAAAAGAAAAAAAGGATAACAAAATTGTTGACAAAGAAAAAGAAAAAGAAAAGAAAGGATAACAAAAAAAAGAAAAGAAAAAAAAAAAGAAACAAAAAAGGATAACAAAAGAAAGGATAACAAAAGTGAGGAAAAGAAAAAAAAAAAAGAAAGAAAGAAAACAAAGAGTGTGAGGAAAAGAAAGAAAAAGAAAAAGAAAGAAAGGATAACAAAAGTGTGAGGAAAAAAGAAAAAAAGAAAAAGAAAGAAAGGATAACAAAGAGTGTGAGGAAAAAAAGAAAGGATAACAAAAGAAAGAAAAAAAAGGAAAGGATAACAAAAGAGTGTGAGGAAAGAAAGAAAAAGAAAAAAGAAACAAAGGAAAAAAAAGAAAGAAAAGAAAGAAAAGAAAAAAAAAAAGGATAACAAAGTGTGAGGAAAAAGAAAAAAAGAAAAGAAAGGATAACAAGGAAAAGAAAAAAAAAGAAAAAAAGAAAAAATAAAAAAAGAGTGAAAAAAAGAAAGAAAAGAAAGAAAAAGGATAACAAAGAGTGTGAGGAAAAGAAAGAAAGAAAGGATAACAAAGTGTGAGGAAAAGAAAGAAAAAGAAAAAGAAAGAAAGGATAACAAAGAGTGTGAGGAAAAGAAAGAAAAAAAAAAGAAACAAAGGATAACAAAGAGTGTGAGGAAAAGAAAGAAAAAGAAAAAGAAAGAAAGGATAACAAAGAGTGTGAGGAAAAGAAAGAAAAAGGATAACAAAGAGTGTGAGGAAAAGAAAGAAAAAGAAAGAAAAAGAAAAGTGAAAAAAAAAGAAAAAGAAAGAAAGGATAACAAAGAGTGTGAGGAAAAGAAAGAAAAAGGATAACAAAGAGTGTGAGGAAAAAAAAAGAAAAATACAAAAAAGAAAAAAAAGAGGAGGAAAAGAAAAAAGAAAAGAAAAAAGGATAACAAAGGATGAGGAAAAAGTGTGAAGAGGAAAAGAAAGAAAGAAAGAAACAAAGGATAACAAAGAAAGAATGAGTAAAAGGAAAGAAACAAAAGGTGACAAAGAAAAAATGGCAGAAAGAAAAGAAATAAAGGATATGAAGAAATGAAAGAAAGAAGGGGAAATCAAAAAATGAAAAACAAAAAGAAAAAAGCTTATATATATAAAAAAAGAAAAAACTTAGAGAAAGCAGAGATAGGAAAGAACTGTGCAAAAAGAAAGAAAGAGGAAGGAAATGCAGAAAAAAAGAGGAAAAGTAATTAAGAAAAGGAAAATAGAAAAAGAGTAAACATACAATATAAGAATGAGAAGCAATAAAAGAAAGTATAAAAATAAGAGAGAAAAAAATGAAAAAGAAGATAAAAAGATTATAAATAAAAAGATTTTGTGGAAATAAAAGAAAAAAATTACTGAAACTAGAGTGATCAAAAAGTATTGACAAGAAAAAAAGCAGGAAATAAAACAATGGATTCCAGAGTAGAATAAAAAGAAAATAAACAAAAGAAGAAAGTGAGAAGAAAAAATAATTGAAAGAAAGAAAGAATGAAATGAAAGAAAAAATAATGGAAAGGAAACTGAAAACACAAATTTAATGCCAGGATGAACAATAAAAACTGTGCAGGAGCCATTTTGCATCACAGCAAGACATTTTAAAAAAATCGAAGAAACAATTTCTCTTGTGAACAAGAAAGTAATGTCCATATTAAATTGATTAATTAACACATAATTAAGGTCATAATTTGTAAAAGTATTGTTTTTCTTCTGTAATTATCAGGTTCCAAGCTTAGGTCTGCTCTTATATATACACACATTCATGACAAAAATCAAGACGTTTCACTTTTTCATTATAATTCTTTATTTTTTTTTTCAAAGAATGAAAACCCTTGAGGACTTAGAACAGTTTGAAATTGAATTTATTCTGTAAATTGCACAAAGTAATGAAATCAGTTTTAATTTGACAATATTCAAAATGAACATAAAAAAAGACAAAGATCAGCAATATGAACAATGAAAAATGAGGAGAAACTAAGAATGAATTAGAAAAATGAAAAAAAAAAGAAAAAATATTTATCAGCAAATTTTCTCAGTTCCAACTCAATTCCTGAGAAATTTCATCCATTCAGTACAAAATATAAACACTGCATGGTA